TACAAACCTCAGCAACACAGTGGTCTAGACAGCCACAGGTCTTTTTGAATCTCAAATTCTTCCAAAATTAATTCTGGTGTTTTTGTTATGGTGGAATGTGCACCATTATAGCATAATCCCCAACCCTCATGATCTACTCAGCTCACAAGTTGGATCCTGATATTTTTCTAGCACTTTGCTTCCTTTATCTTCTCCCTTTGATCTGCTCTCAAAGCTGCATTAATGATCTGAGAGGCTTTCTTTCAGATTCTTTCTTTTTTTTTTTTTTTTACAGTAAGGTTCCCTCTGTATAAGGTCTGATGGCCACTCAGAGGGTTACATTAAGAGGTTGTGGGAATCACTTACATGTGCCACACCTCTGCTTTCTTTAATGTCATTGGTTAATAAATACATGATACTTATTATAGGACAATTTAACCATCGCAAGTAATTCAAAATTTTCTCTAAAATCACGGATTGATCCATTTTCTGACCAATCGCGTATTTTAGTATCTTTTCTATATTTTTGGCGCCAAGCTATCCGGAGACTATCCATCGTTATATAAAGACTCTCGCTGTTTGCCAACAGCCAGTAGCAGTTCAATTCTTGGAAAATAAGGCATGGCGCTATACTGACATTTTAATTCTTAATTATCACTCAATCGAGTAATCATACTAATTTCTATTGATATCACTCATGAACATTACATTTTTCTACACTGATAAAACACTGTGGAACTATTCTTTATTTAGCTAAGACTTCAATTGAACTTTGTAGTTAAATGACATTCAATATTGTACTCAACATTAATTAGCTAAACTTACCCTTTTTATTACGGAAAAAGGGAAGCAACTTGCTTTATACTATTGTTGATATTTGTATATCATTGTTAATACAATATTTTATTAATGTTCACTAAGCTTGATTATTTTTCTCTCGTGTTTGTTGTGCATTATTCATGTGGGGTGTTGTTTTACAAGAACACAGCCTTCCTTCTTTATTATATTCACAGTGACCCTAGCCAACAATACTTACAGCACCACTACAAGGTAGTTTATATGGATGAGAGGAGGAGATAACAGTTCTCTAGACTTTAATAGACTTTAATAGGTTGATTGTAGCGATCAAGGAGGTATCCTCTCAGGAGTCTGTTCCACAAAACATCGGTTCGTGGGAAGAAGCTGTTTGAGTGGAACTTACCCTTTGTATTCTATTGGTGAGAAGTATGTGGATTGTCTACAACTTTTAAGTGGCATGACAGGTCCTAGCCATGAAGATTAGACTTGTCGGAACCAAGGAATATAGTTTGTCCAGGAACTTTCCATGAAAGTAGCAATAGAGCAGTTAGACACTTGCCACATCCTGCCTTTGAGAGAGGTTAGAGGGTGGATAATAATTCTTCTCCAGCAAGAACTCTGAGATGCTTTTGAACTCTATCAATACTGGAAAGTGTGGACTAGGCAGCTCTTATCCAAATATGGCAAGAATACTCCCTTTTCATCATGATCTGGCTCTTATAAAGGTAGAAGATAGCAGGAGGAGTCGAGTACTTACTGGTGTAGTTCAGGGAGCCAATCATTTTACCTGCATCTTTAGTGATGAATTATATATGAGCTTACTGGCATAAAAACAGGAGTTGATTTGTATCTTAAAATACCTGTTGTAAAGTAGTATATCATAGTCGTCACAAAAACTGAATATGGATAACCTCGTATTCTTGTCTCAGGGAGACTATTTATAGTCTCAACACTTCATGTATTTCACTTAGACTACCACTATACATTATCTGTATGGAAGATCTGTTCACAGAACTCTGAACAAGGTCACTTTTGTATAAGCTGTTTAACATTCATTCATATATATATATATATATATAATTGAAAATACATTTATACTTTTTCATGAAAATAATAAACATAAACTAAAATTCTGGAAGCTATCTATATAAAAAAAAAACTGAAACCAACCATTAATTATGAATACTTCACAAATGTTTTAAAATGTTTACTGTAGGTAGTTTAAAATATTTAGGTTTTAATTAATAGTTTTAAATAGTTTTTTTTTTTTTTAAATCCTTTGGACATTTCATAAATGAGTTATATCCTCTGATGTTTACATCATGAAATTTAAGTTGTACAGTACATAATCATAATGCTTTTCACTTCACAGGTAAAAAATTTAAGTTTCAGAACACAACAATTTTTGTCTCAGAAAAAACAACACCCTGATGATGACATTGTACTAAGATCAAAAGTACTCTGAATAAATTAATATGTATCAACATGGTATTTTTTTCTCTTTCTTTAATAAGGATGCTAAGAAGCTTGTCCATGAATATGAGAGGATCCTATTGAACTAAGCAGACAAAACTAGTGTAAATTATTCAATGAGACATGTCTTTTTATATATATATATATATATATATACACATCTAATAAAAAATATAGTTTTAAGGTATGCTATATTTATTTGTTCAATTTATAGTAGTGATTTTCCAAGCATAGCTCAGATGTGGCACAAGGCCAAAAGTATGGGGTACCCAATGAGGATTGAACTCACTACTCAGTCGTAATAGTTCTAGCGAGACAAGCTTGCTAACCATTACACCACCTCAAGGTGCCCGTGTTCAATTTACAGTATGTAAATTTGAAAGTGGACATTGAGGTTAACACCCAGCAGTGACAGTATGTTTCATGCTTAAATGCAATCACCAGGCCTTGAAGCATGAAACAGACTGTTGCCACTGGGTGTTGACCCCAATGTCCACACACACAAACACACACATATATATATTTTTAAAACATATCTTCAGTAATTATTAGACCACTGAGTTCATCATTTTACATGGTTACTGTCTTAAAAATGCAATAATCCAAGACGAAAATACTGCAGTTTCATGTGTATTTGCTTGAAGAAAGATAGAGAAAGAGTGTGTAAATGTAAGCATTAAAAAAATGCATATTTTGTTTGTCAAACTACAATTTTACAGTCAGCCAGTTAAATCCATTGAGATATTGGGTTTCCGTCTTGATTAATTTTTCAGCAAAGGTCTCATTTCTGGCAGTCATCCACTGAAAATGAACAAAATGCAAATAATATGCTTCATATTAATAATATGTGAGACTGATATACACAGTTTTAGTATAAAAAAAAACAATAAAAACAACATTGGAAACCTCCTGATACAAAAATAAAAAAAAGGGTTCTAGATATTACCTATATTTTATTAGACATTCAGTAAGAAGTTCTGACAATTTCTGATGATATCAGCAAGATATAATTAATTTTTCATAAGTGTTGAGTTTTGTCCCATAATTTTCCAAAGATTATTTTTTTCTTTCTATGTTGGTGTGGTGTGCATATGTTTGTTGTTTTAAGGACACTGTACTTGAATTTGAATTGTTTTTTGTGTTACTTTGAAATATATATATATTATTTTTATTGATTTATTTACTTTTCTTCTTTTCTTTTCTGATTCCCTTATATGCACATCAGAAAAAAAAAAATCTTTCTCTCTTGGGGTAAAACGATTATATAATGCACTCAATGAAAGATTTTATGCAAAAGTCTTTAGGTAATTTCCTTTCTTGTTAGTTTTTCTTTTGGTAAAATATAATTTGTTTTTCATATCCTTTCTCTTCCACCCTTGTTTTTCTTTCTTTTTCTTAAGTTTTCATTCTCTTTTATTTTTTTTGTTTTTTCAGATTTCTTTTTCTTTCTTTTTGTCTATTTTTAATCCTTTGCCTCTTTTTCACTCATTTTTTTTTACCTTCTCTTTTTTTCTTGCTTCCTATTATTCTATAATATTGTATTTCTTTGGATTTTCCTCGGTTCAGTTTTTAATAATTTCTTGTACTTAAATTTTTCATTCAGTTTCTTCTTTTTTTTTTATTTCATTTTCCTTCCTTCATTTTTTTCAAACTTCATCTTTCTTTCTCTCTTTTATCATCAAACTTCTTTTCCTACATCTTACATTCTCTTAAAAAAAAAAGTTTATTCATCTTTTTTTTTTACATTCGCTTTTCCAACCTTTTTGAAGCTTTCTTTTCATTTCTTAACAAAATTAACATGAGACATTTGTCACTTTCATTGAACTTAAATTTTTATTTTTTTTATTTTTTTTTATTTTTTTTGTGCATGTATCATTTGTTTGCTTATTTAATCATCTTTGTTTCATATCATTCCCTTTTTGTTTGATAGTTTTTAATGTTTAGTTTACTACATTACCCTTTTTATTACTCTTCCCTCAACCTCTGGTATATCCTGTCACACTATCTATCAGATTAGAAGAACTAAAAGGGAATTAATCATTTTTTTTCTTTTTATTCTAATTTTATTTTTTATACATCTTGACCTTTCATGTGCTGAAAATCATCTTCAGTCAAAATAAAACAAAAAAAGGAGGAAGAAATTAAAAAAAATAAAACAAACATCAAACATGGCTGAACACAAAATTGTCAGAGACCAGTTATCATTACACTTTAGGCAGACAACACCAATAAAAAACAAAATTCTTGTTTTATTTTATCATTTATCCAGCTTTATAATCATTCTTTTTATATAATTCTTATTTTATCCTATCACATTTTCTTGTCTCCTTTTACCTCTGATGCTATTTTACACCTTGTCAATTCATTTTTGTTTTTAGTCTTCTTTTAGTGAGAAAGTTTCATTTTGATAGTTTAAGTAAAAAAAAAAAAAAAGTAAGAAAAGGTGATTAAGTGATGGTTTTGTTAAGACTAGTTGTCTTTACTTTGTTTTCATTTTACCTTGCAATTTTTTTTTTTGCTTTTTAATCTTGGAAATTATTTTCTTTTTTCTCATTGTTAATTTTTTCTTTAATCATTTTTGTAAAAGAAAAAGCATCATTGTTAATTCATAAAATGTGAAACAGATGTTACCCTCCGAAAAATAGAGAAGAGCAGAGAAAGAGTTCAGCATATGCTTAAGAATCTAATAAAAGAAAGAGAAGGTGAAGTATTCAAAGAAGAAGAATCTAAAAGAAATGAAGGAAAAGGATCTATAACATAAAAAAGGAATACAAAAGAAAAATGTGAAGGAAAAAAAAAGTAAGAATAGTGAAGATAATGAAGAAATCTAAAGAAAGAAAAGAAAAAAAGGTGAAGTATTCAACGATGAATCTGAAAGAAAATAAGGAGAAAAAGAAAACATCTACAGTATAAAAGAGGAATAAACTTAAGAAAAATCTGAAGAAAGTGAAAAAGGAAAAATATATGAAAGTAAGAATGGTAAAGATGAAGAAGAATCTAAAGAAAGAAAAGGTGGAATTAACTGAAAAAGAAGTGAAAAGGCATATAAAGTAAAAGACATATGAAAAAAAAAAAATGAAGGAAATGAAAAAGGAAGAATATATGAATCATAACAGTGAAGAAGAATCTAAAGAAAAAGAAAAGGTGGAAGAATCTGAAAAAGAAGATGGGAAAGTAAAAGAGAAATATGAAAAAGAAAAATCTGAAGGAAAAGTATTTGAAAAAGGAAGTCTATGAAAATAAAAATGATGAATCTTAAAGTTGAACATAAGTAAAAAAAAAAAATTTATAAATAATGTGAATGAGGGTCTGAAGGAGGAAATCTTGTATTTGACACAACGTAAGGTGTTGAAAAAATTCTAAAGAAGAAAATGATAAAAGGAAAATAACCAGCAGAATATGACAAAATATTCTGAATGAAAAGAAGGAAAAAGAAGAGTGTCAAAAAAGTTATAAAAAAATTCAAAAGATTCAAAGAATCATCATAAGAAAATAAAGAGAAATGGACATGAAGATTCTGAAGGAGAAAAAGTAAATTAAAAAGACAGTGAATATTAGAAAGAGGAGGACAGTGTAAGTCTTATGAAGATCAGAAAAAAAAGTAGAATGAAAACAAAAAAAATGAATAAAAGAATAAAGAACCAGATAAAGAAAAAAAAATGAAAAAAAAAATGAAGCAGCATCAAAAATAAAGTAAAAGAAAGAAATAGAATTGATTTCTTTCTGAGTCAACTAATTAAGCCGATGCCTATGTTTGTATGTTAGTTTGTCCAGCAGGGATTACATATATGCTTAATTTGACATTTTAATTCTCAGCATGCTGCAATTGTCAATGATGCCTCTCAGCAAAATTCAATCTCCAATAATCCCAATTACAAAGAATTTTCTTCTGCCCTGAAGAACTAGATTATTATTGATAACAATTTTTACCCATTCACTAGATTCCTATTCGTTTGCTTATCTGCCAATGTATATATCAATTTCTTTGTCACAACACTTACCAATCATTGTTTCACTCTCAATATGTTTATGTCTGTATATATTAGTTTGTCTGTATCTGTCTATGCTTATATATGTCTGTTAAAGTCTGTTTCTATTCCATATCTGTCTATATATCAATCTGTTCATGTTTGTCTTTATTTCAACCTCTATATTTCTGCACATCTGTCTCCAAAAATATTCATGCTTGCCACCTGTCTCCCAAACTGTCCATGCCCATCCCTCTGTCTCCCAAACTGTCCATGCCCATCCCTCTGTCTCCCAAACTGTCCATGCCCATCCCGCTGTCTGCCCATCCCGCTGTCCCCCCCCTTGTCCATGCCCATCCCGCTGTCTCCCAAACTGTCCATGCCCATCCCGCTGTCTCCCAAACTGTCCATGCCCATCCCCCTGTCTCCCAAACTGTCCATGCCCATCCCGCTGTCTCCCAAACTGTCCATGCCCATCCCGCTGTCTCCCAAACTGTCCATGCCCATCCCCTGTCTGTCCCCCTCCCAAACTGTCCATGCCCATCCCCTGTCTCCCCAAACTGTCCATGCCCATCCCCTCTCCCAAACTGTCCATGCCCCCCTGTCTCCCCAAACTGTCCATGCCCATCCCCCTGTCTCCCAAACTGTCCAAACTGTCCATCCATCCATCCCCTGTCTCCCAAACTGTCCATGCCCATCCCCTGTCTCCCAAACTGTCCATGCCCATCCCGGCTGTCTCCCCAAACTGTCCAATCCCCATGTCCATGTCCATGCCCATCCCGCTGTCTCCAAACTGTCCATGCCCATCCCCTGTCTCCCAAACTGTCCATGCCCCCATCCCCTGTCTCCCCAAACTGTCCATATCCATCCCCCTGTCTCGCAAACTGTCCATATCCATCCCCTGTCTCCCAAACTGTCCATGCCCATCCCCTGTCTCCCAAACTGTCCATGCCCATCCCCCTGTCTCCAAACTGTCCACTGTCCCCCATGCCCATCCCGCTGTCTCGCAAACTGTCCATATCCATCCCTCTGTCCATCCCCCATCCTCCTCATAAACTGTCCATGCCCATCCCTCTGTCTGTCCATCCCCCCGGGCTGTCTCCCAAACTGTCCATGTCCATGTCCATCCCGCTGTCTCCCCAAACTGTCCATGCCCATCCCAAACTGTCCCATCCCTCTGTCTCCCAAACTGTCCATGCCCATCCCGCTCCCCAAACTGTCCATGCCCATCCTGCTGTCTCCCAAACTGTCCATCCCATCCCCTGTCTCCCAAACTGTCCATATCCCCAAACTGTCCCTCCTGCTGTCTCCCAAACTGTCCATGCCCATCCCAAACTGTCCATGCCCATCCCTCTGTCTCCCAAACTGTCCATGCCCATCCCTCTGTCAAACTCCATGCCCATCCCGTCTCCCCAAACTGTCCATGCCCATCCCCCTGTCTCCCCTGTCCAAACCCTCTGTCTCCCAATGCCCATCCCCTGTCTCCCCAAACTGTCCATATCCCTCTGTCTCCCAAACTGTCTGTCTGTAAATGCAAACTGTCCATACCCATGCCCATGTCTGTATTTCAAAGTTCATGCTTATTTACATTATTTACATACATTACTATTGTTTTCATTTTTGTTATCCTCGTATAAATAATGATAAATCCTCACTATAGAAATTCAGACTATTCATATTTTGTCTGCCTGTAACCCAATCTATCTGCGATAATCTGTATCCCAATCTTTTCATAATTGCCTATGAGTGCCCATATCCCAATCTGTTCATGTCTGTCTGTCTGTCTCTTTATCCAAAACTGTTCATGTCTGTCTGTCTCTGTATGCAGAACTGTTCATGTCTGTCTGTCTGTCGCTGTATGCAGAACTGTTCATGTCTGTCTGTCTGTCTCTGTATGCAGAACTGTTCATGTCTGTCTGTCTGTCTCTGTATGCAGAACTGTTCATGTCTGTCTGTCTGTCTCTGTATGCAGAACTGTTCATGTCTGTCTGTCTGTCTCTGTATGCAGAACTGTTCATGTCTGTCTGTCTGTCTCTGTATGCAGAACTGTTCATGTCTGTCTGTCTGTCTCTGTATACAGAACTGTTCATGTCTGTCTGTCTGTCTCTGTATACAGAACTGTTCATGTCTGTCTGTCTGTCGCTGTATACAGAACTGTTCATGTCTGTCTGTCTGTCTCTGTATACAGAACTGTTCATGTCTGTCTGTCTGTCTCTGTATGCAGAACTGTTCATGTCTGTCTGTCTGTCGCTGTATGCAGAACTGTTCATGTCTGTCTGTCTGTCGCTGTATGCAGAACTGTTCATGTCTGTCTGTCTGTCGCTGTATGCAGAACTGTTCATGTCTGTCTGTCTGTCTCTGTATGCAGAACTGTTCATGTCTGTCTGTCTGTCTCTGTATGCAGAACTGTTCATGTCTGTCTGTCTGTCTGTCTGTCTCTGTATAAGAACTGTTCATGTCTGTCTGTCTCTGTATGCAGAACTGTTCATGTCTGTCTGTCTGTCTCTGTATACAGAACTGTTCATGTCTGTCTGTCTCTGTATACAGAACTGTTCATGTCTGTCTGTCTGTCTCTGTATACAGAACTGTTCATGTCTGTCTGTCTGTCTCTGTATGCAGAACTGTTCATGTCTGTCTGTCTCTGTATGCAGAACTGTTCATGTCTGTCTGTCTCTGTATGCAGAACTGTTCATGTCTGTCTGTCTCTGTATACAGAACTGTTCATGTCTGTCTGTCTGTCTCTGTATGCAGAACTGTTCATGTCTGTCTGTCTGTCTCTGTATACAGAACTGTTCATGTCTGTCTGTCTGTCTCTGTATACAGAACTGTTCATGTCTGTCTGTCTGTCTCTGTATCCAAAACTGTTCATATCTTTCTATTTGTATCAAAATTTATTCATGTCAGTCTCTATCCCAATCTATTCATGTCTGTTTGCATACCATTTTGTTTATGTCTGAATGTTTCTAAATCTACAGTCAATATACATTGATTTACTTCAATATTGAGTAATGTGGATTGAATCTGTAAGTAACAAAGAAATTTTAGAAAAATAGACATAAAAAGGATACTTTTGAAATTTCTAGGACATAGTATGGAAATAGGTATTGTAGAATTCGATACTTACAGGACATATATTGATGGCAAGAGAGATAGAAAAACTGAATAACTAATTGAAATGGATGGTAGAATAGAGAAGGAGAGGGATAGAAAAAAAGATAAACATTGCTAAGAAATACAAAGTATAGAAAGTTGTGGAGATCCATGATTGCCCACAACCTGAAAGTCATAGCATATTGGAGAAGAAAGATTTTAATGCATTTTGTTTTCTTTTTCTTGTCTCTCATATAATTTTCTAATTTAAGTGAAAGTGAAGATTTACATTGATCAACTCAGTTTAACACAGAGCCACAGAATTTAGGATCTACAAGATTCAAACACGCAATGGTATTTGAGAAGATTACTAATCTTGGTATCTATATAACAGTTAAAGCAAATTTAAACATCTTATTCATATGAAATTAATGTGAATTTTCTGAAGAATTACAAACATCATTTGGAGATGTTCTTTTTTGGTCATTTACTATTATTGGAATTACTTCTCTCTTTGATATGTAATGTGCATATCAAGGAACAAGGAACCAAATGGTGTCTTCAAAGAAAAATTGAGAGAAAATCATTTTTTTTATTTCCTAGCTTCAAGTGATGTAAACAAAATGGAAAATAGTAAAGATTGCTTAGCTTGTGGTGAGACTATGATGAGTCTAAATTAATTATCTGGCTCATAGCAACAGAAAAATAGTTCATAAGAGGAAAGTAGAAAAGCAACAATGTTGAGAAAAAAACATTAACAAAAAGACAAACAGCTGGATACCAAATTTTAAATCAAAATTTATTGTAACAAATAAAAATGAGTTAATACTATAGGAATTTTCTCAATGTCTTCATAGAATGATGAATATGATATTTTCAAGGTGATCATAGCAATTTTTTTTCTATCTTTTTATGTAAGTCATCTGGTTTATGTGAAAGTATGGCAAGAGTCTGTGGGAAATCATGGTTCTCCACAATTTCTGATCCTTTGTTGCACATAGTAAATTTAGTAATTTGTTATCTCTCCTAATCTTTGTTTTGCTAATCATTTATTGAAGCTTGTTAAGTAGTTTATTTGCTGCTTTCCTATGTCCCTGCCTTTGCTTTCAATCTACCCTGTGAGTATCAAATTTTCCCTTTCCTCTTATAGGCCTTAAAAATTTCAGCTGTCTCTTTCTGATGTAAAACTTCATCAGTGCTCACATGTTCAGGCCATAGTATTCTCAGTATCTTTCTGTAGAAAATTTCTCTTGGCTCAAATCTTTTCTTCATCTGTGAGGAGAGTGTCCAGCATTCACTGCCATATAGAAGGACTGATATTACATGACAGTTCAGTACATTATTTTTTTTGTTTTTTCAGAAAATTTTCTTGTTTTTTAATACTTAGCATTTGGAAGATATCTTTCACTATTCCAAGGCTTTTTTGGATTTTAGTCTTACATTTTCTATCCTTCATTAAAACTGTTCTTAGATATTTAAATTTTTCTACTTGCTAGATTTTGATATCTCCAATGTCAAATTCGCATTTCTTTTGCTGGCAACCATACACTCTGTCTTCTTATAATGAATGCTTCATTTTTTTTCTTCTCACTTTCCTTTATTACCTCCTGTTGGAATGCTTCTAGTTTTATTTCCATGCTTGCTATTGGTCAGTGAATTATGTGATGCGTGATATATGCTTGGGCAATCATGTATCTTTCAATACATGACTGACGAGGCAAATTTTTTTTCCTGCAGTAGGTTGCCATTTCTTTCTGTGGTAGACCAGTTGTCATCCAAGGCTATAGAACCTGGTCTGTCCTGCTATTTACCCATAACTGGTGTGCAAAGAAGAGGATTCATACCTTTCCAAAGGGTATTAGCTCATAAGTGAATGTAATGGATTTGACTGGAATTCAAACTTGGCTCTCCGATTTAAAAAAAAATCCTTCCTTGGGTTTCCAGTACTAG